GCCAAATCTAGTCAACGGTTTGGCTCGGGCTGGCCGCAGGCTGCTCGAGGTTATCTGCAGGCTGACTTGGCTGGTCAGCACCTTCAGCTGGCCTTTCAGCACCTTCAATGACCTCGTCGCCTTCGTCTTCCTCACCCACCACCACAAATTCAAAACTGAACTTGGGAGGCAAAATGGTTTGACCCCAACTATCCTTCTCCCACTTCAATGTTACCTCCGGGCAGAAGTCAGTAGTACTGCTCTCTCCATTTTCCTCCACCTCCCCTTCCTGCTCTCCGAAGGTAATCTTCGTCACATCCACAGCAGGATACTGCAGCTTCACCTTCTTCCAGCAGTTAGAGAAGGTCACGATGGCAGTGGGAAGACGATAGAGGTTGACGATGTCCTCGAAGGTGCTGGACCTCAAGAACCCCTCCACATGCTCCTCAACCGAGTTGTGAACCTTGAGCTCCAACTCAGCCACCACCTTCCCTGCCTCCTCCACCTCCTTCTCCCTCCTCTCCAACTCGACCTCGCATATCTTCCTTTTTTGGTACAAGATCTCCGAGTCCTTTTTGAGGGTGGCGTTTTCCTTTCGGAGCTCCTCCATCTCCGCCTTCAACCTCGCCACCTCGGCTTCAGCAGCCTCGCTCTTCTTAACAAGCTCGGCGTTCTCCTTCTTCATCTGACTCCTCTCTTTTAAACTCTCATGATGCTCATTGGCCAAAGCATTCACGAGGTTAACAGCCTGCATAATAGCACAATTTCAGATCGCCAAACAAATTCACAATGGTAATCCCCAAACCCTAGGTGAAGTCAAAGTACCATACCTCCAGCGCCTGACGAACAACGCCAACTGAACCTCTGGCGGCCACCTCGTCCTTCGCACGCTGGCGGTCCACCTCCGGGAAATAGGCGTTGATAAACCTCTTGGCTGTGCTCCTCATCCCTGAGTCATAGAAGCTCGTCGTGGGCGCTCGGATGTATCCTTGCTCTCGGAGCGCAGCAGCGAACTCAACAGCCGAAGCTGACGAGGTCCCTTCCAGACGGAGGGGTGCAGTCACAGGCTCAGGCTCCGATATCTCCTCCACAGCCTCTTGTTGCTCCAACCTCTTCCTCTTCGCAACAATGGGCCCTTCCTCAGCCACTGTCACTTCACCTCCAACGTGGCCAGGCTGAGAAATGGCCAAGTTTCCCACTTCGGCTTAAGGCATTGAAATCTCCTCCCCCCGCATCCTGACCTCGCCTCTCTTTCCTCTCCCCTTCTTTGGAATTCCAGCTCCACCGGCTGCATCCAAAAACTTGTTCATCTCTTCTACAAAACAAAACAAGGTTAAACTCTGATCAGAATTCTCGAACTAAATCAACAATTAAGGTTACACACCTCCCTTCTATGAGCTCAGCCCATATATCTCAGTCGCATCTAACATCCTCTTGCTCGTATATTCCATAACGTCCAGCAAACCCACCCCCCCTTTTCCAACTCCTCCACATCCTCTATCTCCCCCGAGGTCAGACTATACTCGTTGAGGTTTAACCCTTTCACCTTCCAACGACTCAAGTGCTCCACCTCAGCATCAGTCTTATCCCACTCTGTGTCATCCGCAAAAAAGAACTTATCTTTCCACCCATTAATGGAAGACGACCCGGCGCTAAACAAACCCCTCTTCTGCTTATTCGCTAGCCGGCCCGTAAAATAGTACCACCCCTTCTCCCTACCACTACCAGCGTTCAAGACATAAAAGTACTTGAATACGTTAGCAGTGGGAAAACTTACCCCCCGACTTCGGCTATACACTGCAAACGCCACCACTAACCTCACGGCATTGGGGGTGACTTGCGTTAGCCCCAGACCATAGTCCAACAACAACCACACCAACAGGTATGGGAAAAGGAACCGCAACCCAATCGCCAGGTAATGGGAGTAGAGAGGCATCCAGTGGTCCCCCGGGGCGAAACACGCCCTCTCTACTCCCCGCCGGCTTCACCAACACACGACCGGGCACCCCATAATTCTCAACCAAGTGGGCCAAACTACCCCTATTCTCCAAAGTTGTTTCATACCCTGCCACCTCACTAACAACTTCCTCCTCAGGGTTGAAACATGGCTCTCTGCCATCCTCTCTCTCCAAGATGTTCGACGGCACCCCTAAATCCCTACTCTCTGCCCCCTCAACCCTCCCCCTCACTCTGCCGTCACTAAGTGTCTCTTCAGAAGACATCCTCACAACAAAGAAAGGTAGAAAGAAGACACTCAAATCTTCGCAAATTACCTAGTTTCTACTGACAACGGACGAACAATCTTGAGTGCAAGCAAGCCGGTGACTTTTCCAGACGTTAACAGCAAAATGGGTTGGATTTTTCTAACTCCGTGTATATATATGACGGTAAAACGTACTTTGACGGCCACAATTAACTTTCTTAAACCGTCACGACTGTGCCCTTTCAAATTCGCCGTTTAGTTTAACGCCGCGTCCCTTCGAATGTGACGGTTACTTTTTGCAGACGATATTTATTACTGCACGTTCTTCCATGACAACTGTCGTCTGCTGCATTAACCAGCTTTAGTAGTCCATAAATAGGCCCATTTCAGGCCCATTATAAACCCTTAACATATACTTACACGAAAACTATCAAGTCCCTATTTCATCTCGGCTACGGCCACAGTGACTACGTGTCACCTATTTTATCTCGGCTATGGCCACAGTGACTACATGTCACCTATTTCACCTCGGCTACGGCCACAGTGACTACGTGTCACCTATTTCATCTCGGCTACGGCCACAGTGACTACATGTCACCTATTTCCTCTCGGCTACGGCCACAGTGACTACGTGTCACCTATTTCATCTTGGCTACGGCCACAGTGACTACGTGTCACCTATTTCATCTCGGCTACGGCCACAGTGACTACGTGTCACCTATTTCATCTCGGCTACGGCCACAGTGACTAGGTGTCACCTATTTCATCTCGGCTACAGCCATAGTGACTACGTGTCACCTATTTCATCTCGGCTACGGCCACAGTGACTACGTGTCACCTATTTCATCTCGGGTACGGCCGCAGTGACTCCGTGTCACCAATTTCACCCCAGCTACGGCCTCCGTACCACCAGTGCTACCCTACTTACTCAACCTCACACTCTTTATCATCCATACACTTCCCATCTTTCCCTTATCATTCACAAGTGAATGACTTAGGGGGGGAATAGTGTAAGGGCAGCTATACCAGAAAACACGCAAAGTAAAGATCAGAGATCTGAGGTCACTGCACCTCGATTGCGGGACTCAGAGCTTACTGCACCTCGGCCTCTCACCGAAAGTGTATGGCAGCCACAATAGGCATGCCCTCATCTGATCATTTGTCCCTACCAGAACACCCTTTCTCAAGGGACCTGCTCCGTCAGAATACACCACGCGCATTTAATGCGATCACTCCGTTAAGGCACGTTACGTTCACCTAAAACGTCTACTCGTCAGGCGCACTATGTCACCATTATTGGGTTGACTGAGCCACGTGGGTGCGGACAAGCCACGTGGGTACCTTGCCAAGATGGACAAAGCCCACAAGGTAAGGTTCGATAAATAGGCGGAACAAAAAGAAAAACATGATTGGAAAAATACTGACTTAAGCATCGGAGTTTCTCCCCGAGGACCAACCTCGGGATTTTGCAGGACCATTTGGAGAAGGATCAACTCGAAGCAGGAACTCAAGGATATTCAGCAACTACAAAAGGGTCCGATGTTATTGGACTAGGTGGTGGTGATGTGTCTTTAATTTCCCAGATGGGAAAGTCCAAAGGTGGTAAAATTCTCCTATTGCTTGGTGCCACTCACTGCCACTACTAGATCCCCAAGCAAGATAAACTTT